GGTATCAGTGAAATTCTTCTTCATTTAGACTGTAGGCCAGAGATGTAAGCTCCATTCATTTAGGAAACATTGCTATCATTGTATTCGAAAATGAGCTTTCTTTCTATAAAAATTTGACTATCTTTTGTTTCCTGTTGCTTTTGGATGTTGGGTTGATAAGTCAAGGAAAATGAAAGTTATGCGTATAAAATTTTAAAATACACGCCATTAAATTATTCTATTGAGGGTGAAGAGAAAGCAATGGAGCTGACATTGTAACGTTTGTAACAAGCCGGGCAGAAAGCGTTCTCGGATAATGTTAATGGTGTGGTGGATGGCTGAATCAATGGTTAAAAACACTGTAATGAGGCTTGACTTTCTAGAAAAATGTCATAACGACTCTCGTTTTTGCATTTTCAGTATTCTACTATTCGCTAATGTTATGGTCTATGAAAGCAAGAGTTAATAGACTCGTAGCACAGTGTACTACGCTCCGCAGTAGTACGTGGACGGTTGAGATTGCTCATTATACAAAGCATCTCGTAAATTATGCGCTAGTGATGGATAGAACAGTAGTTGGATTTGTAGTTGCGTAGTTGCCTCAGACATGGATTTTTGCTAGGCTTGACTCCTTGTTAGTCGATTAATAAGCTTAGCCTTTGAAAAGCGCCCCTACTACTTTGTCCTATCGGCTCATTATCCTTAAATAATAAGTAAATTAAGAAAGGGCTGGTGAATTGGAGCAAAAGTAATCTTGGTTGAAGAGCATTATAATGATCAGAGACTGCTCAACTCATGTCGTTGTGTAGATCATTAGTATTCAAACACTTTCGTGATATCATGAACGATTGTTTGATGAATTTCTCCAGAGAGGCAAATGCTTACCCGTCTTACTATTGGTCGTAACAGAGGAGGTGCGATGTTGTTTTGAAAACTTGTGTGAGTGTTTTATTTTGAGGTGAATATTGATTTGTTTTTTGCTCTCTTAATCGCTTTCAAAATACAAACAGATAATCATCACAATATCATTCACATAATTTACATGGCTTGCCACAATACTCCATTCTCTGAATATCACTGTAAAATGTATTATCGCAGAAGCCGTTTTTCCTCCAATCATCACAGCTGAATATACTCATAATCAACCTTATACACCAAGGTTTTTAAATAATAAATATAATAATAATAGGATAAAAAATAAATGAAATAAATAAGATCATTGAACTACAGAGATCACCTTGGATGCGATCCACATTTGATTGAACCTGTAAGACAGAAGAATCTTTACTCTGTACTCTGTATACCATACTAGTTTTTTCCTCAAGTTCTCTAGAGGTCATGAAAAAGTTGTTCATCTACAGTGTGATCTACCATGTTTCTTACCGTATTTTTCTCTTTACTCGCATTAAATTGTACTCAATA